CTAACCTATTGCGCAACATTTGGACGCAACAGCGCATTCCTTCGTCCTGGGGCGAATTAATGATCGTCCTCATCTGCAAGAAAGGGCTTCGCAACGATTGCGAAAACCACCATGGGAGAGGCTTGATCCCGATCGACACAAAAGTTCTAGCCTCCGTCATACTTCGATATTTTACGCCTTTAAAGGAGACCAACATCCGTGAAAAGCAAACCGGATTCCGGTCTGGCCGTGAATGTATTGATCTGATTTTTACGTGGCTTCAGGTCCTTGAGCTGCGTCACACCCACCGCCGACCAACAATCGAGGTGTTCCCGGGCCTGAAAGGAACCTCCGACTCAGTTGACCGCGAAGCTCTGATGGGCGCCTTTCTTCAAAAAGGAATGCCCCAGAAGTACCTTAATTTACTAAGGTCACTGTACTCACACCTCTGGTAGAGTGAAGGTTTACAACGAACTGAGTACGCCGTTCGTCAACAGCAGCGGCGTTCGTCAAAGGTGCCCCCTTTCAGCGATCCTATTCGATTTCGTCGTAGACAAATACTGGAGAACGCATTTAGTGGTTTCCAAAACGCAGGTATTCGTCATCATCGTACAGCGAGATACAGTGAAGCGAACTTCATTGATCGCTGCCAAGCTCTTAATGTACACAAATTAAGTGATAAGCACAAGATGGAGAGGGATTGGGCCTACTGAGAGGGAGGCAAGGAAAGTAAACCTGTATGGTCAACACACAGAGTACATAATCTAAGTGTTCATACATACTTTTCCAAGCATTCTGACCTGATAAGAAACGACAACAAGAACTCCATTGTTGTCGGTTAGGCGCCATATCCTTCATTGTCTCCAGCCGGCCAGTTGCAGAGTCTTTCGGACCCCAACCTGGAAGACGGGAGACACCGACTTTACCTAATCGCGCTGTGCATTTCTTCATGCCTCGCTTCCACGTCATCTGTTAGCCTCCACGCGGTTTCTTCCAACCTGGAGCCGCAACTACGAATAGGGCGCGATGCGGCAGATGATGGCTGGGCATGAGCAATACGTGTCCTAACCAGCGAAGCCGATTAATCTGAATTCGACGGGACAACGAATTCTCCATCGAATCATTACCAAACATGCGACGAATTACCTCAGAGTTGCTTACACGCTCGCCCCATCCAACCCGCGCCAAACTACGCAAAAATCGGCAGTCAAAAACCTCTAGACGACGAATATTTTCCACGCGCGAATTTAAGGTCTCGCAACCATAGAGAACTGACTGCACACTGGTGCAGTATACACGACCTTTCAGTTTCAACGAAACATCGCGTCGGTACCAAAGATGTTTTAGTCCTGTATAAGCTGCTCGAGCCTTGAAAATGCGGGCGGCTACTTCATTGACTATGCTACCGTCATTTGTAACGCAGCTACCTAAGTAGGTGAAACATTCCAACACAGCTAATTCTTGACCATGAAGCATCAGCACTGGGGTAGACGACACCCAGTCTTGCAGCACTACTTTATACTTTGAAGGTGCAAAGCGCAGGCCGAACGGAGCAACAGAACTTGAAAGTCTGTCAAGAGCGCTTTGCGCATTCTCCATACATTCAAACACGTATTGAATGGGCAGGTGGAGAAAAACTGTGATTTGGCGTACGCCGATGGCATTGTCTGTCTGTTAAAATGCATAGAGGACGCGCAAAGCGTATTTGATAGACTAACTAGTTCCATTGCCACATTCGGTGTGCTTTGCACCTTCAAAGTGCAAAGTGACGCTGCATGACTGGGTTTCGCTTATTCCTGCTCTGGAACTAAATGGTCAGGAATTGGTTATGGTGAATCACTTTTCCTACTCAGGTAGTCGCGTGACCAATGACGGTAGCGCAGCAAAAGAAATAACCACCCGCATTTCCAAGGCTCAAGAAGCATACGCAGGACTGAAACACCTGTGGCGTAGACGCGATGTTTCACTGAAGTTAAAAGGTCGTGTATATTGTGTCACTGTTAGTTCAGTTCTACTTTATGGTTGTGAGACCTTGAATTTGCGAGCAGAATATATCCATCAATTAGGAGTTTTCGATTATCGGTGTTTACGTAGTTTAGAATACGTTGGATGGAGCGAACGGATTAGCAGTCTGAAGGTAAGCCGTCGTGTCAAGGATAAACCTGCTAGTACATCGAATTTAGATTAGTAAACTTCGTTGGCTAGGGCATGTGTTGCGTTTACCCAACTGTCGTTTGCCGCACCGCGCGTTTTTTGCCGTAGCCGCTCGGAGCAGGAGGAAACCACGTGCAGGTCAACAGATGATGTGGAAACGAGGCCTGAGAAAAATGCACAATCATTAGGTAGAGTAGGTGTCTCGAGCCTTGAAGGTTGGGGCCCAAAAGACTGCAACTGGTTGATTGGAGACATTGAAGATTTCAATGTCCACAACAAGGAATCGCTGAAGCACTCACTTCATGAGAAGTGAAGCCGAGGCTTTTGCTGTGGTCAACAACCTAAGTCAATTAGTTGGCCTTCCCCCACGCAACCATGATCGTAGTGGTGACGGTGTTCACATCCTTGACCTCATTCTCACATTCATTCCCTCTTCTTCCTCCAAAATCACTTCCCTTTCCCCATTAGGCTCATCGAACCTTTGTCTCATTTCCTTTC